TTTAAAATGTGCAATTTTTGTCTGACAAACATTCTCCAACATTTTCCTCTTTTATATTAGGGCCTTTTGAAATGTACAATTTTTGTCTGACATACATTCTGTTTGACATTTTCCACTTTTATATTAGGGCCTTTTAAAATATGCAATTTTTATCTGACAAACATTCTCTTTAACCTTTTCCTCTTTTATATTAGGGCCTTTTAAAGTGTGCAATTTTTGTCTAACAAACATTCTGTTTAACATTTTCCACTTTTATATTAGGGCCTTTTAAAATATGCAATTTTTATCTGACAAACATTCTCTTTAACCTTTTCCTCTTTTATATTAGGGCCTTTTAAAGTGTGCAATTTTTGTCTGACAAACATTGTCTTTAACCTTTTCTTGGCCCCAAAATTAATGTGTATGAATGTAAATTAGGTACAGGTTAACAGGTAATACTTGTTAAAGTAAATGGATGAACCAAAAGCTATTCATTTTAAGCTGTACATTGAATATTTATCAAATTAAAAGTGATAAAGGTAAAATGTTGTTTTTTAATTGTTTGGTTTGTTCCTTCCTATTAGAGCAATAGTTATTCAATTTTATTTCTTTGTGTGTGTGTGTGTGTGTGTTAAAAAATCACTGTTATGATCTTCTTAAATGTATTCAAAAGCCATAATTCATCTTCTTTAGTAGCTACCTATTCGTAGAGCATTACATCATGCTATGGTGTATTTACTCCCACATTTTTTAAGTACAGGTGAATATAATGTATGCACTTACAGGTGTTAGCAGACAAAGTTTTACTCCCATGCTCACTGGTTCGGGGAACTTATGGAAGGGCTTGGAACGAAATACTGGTACTTGGTGGCTTCTTACAGGTATGTATTTAGTTTTTCTTTAAAAAAACACTCATTTATATATATAGATTTACATATCACTGTATTAAGTGTGTCATTATTATCTGCAAGATTATATTTAATCAATAAAATATTTGCTTTCAGGAAAGACAAAGTTTTCACTTTACTAGATAAAGAAGAGGGTAAATCTTTTGATATCTGTATTAAGTTTTTCTGGTAGGGAAAATGTTTTCATAATTTTATTGTTTATTTCAGCTAAAAATGAGGTAGAGCTAGAGAGTTAGTGGTATTTGCTAATCAGTTAATTGACATTTCCTACTTAGCAAATGAATTGCTAACGTTGACTAAATAAAGTCACCATTATGTTTGTTTTTAAGATGTGCGTTAATCCCACACTGATAATGGTAATGCTTCTATTAAAAGCATATCATGATTGCAATTAGAAATAATTAATTAGCCAGTTAGCCATTCATTTATGTATGTTATTTGAAAAGGATGAACACAATAATAATATTTAATAAAGTTTTGTGTCATCAGAATTATTTGCTGTTGCCTCCTACACTCACTAAACAGCAAATTTAATTAAAGTTATCTGATTTAATGCTGATTTTATTTGGTTAGCATGAAAAAACAACAACAACAACAACATACTTACAAACTTTACAACTCAGTAAAACCATTTAAACAAAAATCCAAACATCAGTAAAATATCTTTATTGATCCTCAAGCAACTTCCAGTGGTGTGACATCTTTGTTTCATATTGTGTATATATATTCCTGTTTCTAAGTAAACTACTTGTACCTTAAGCAACTTCCAGTGGTGTGACATCTTTGTTTCATATTGTATATATATATTCCTGTTTCTAAGTAAACTACTTGTACCTGATGATGACAAAGCTTTATTCAAACATTATACATTTGTTACTGTGCTAAGCTTATGATAAAGTTTCTTTTGTTGCCCATTCAACCTATCTCTAAACTGCATGAATTTACATTATCTCAAGTTATCTGATGTCTTCTCATTGAATAATATTTCTGGAGCTTTCAGACAGATATAATTTAACGCGGTAGTTTCACAATTCACAAACAAATAAAACTGAAAGGAACATTTACAGAAACTATAAACAAAATCTTAAACCTACATCGATAATATAAATGATGTGCAGAAAAATTATAAAATAAATTTATAAGTGGGTTGTTTTGTTTACAGGCAGCTGTGGAGAAGTGGAAATATTAACTTTAATTAATTTTCTACACAAGTTACATCTATAGTGGTATAATATATATTATCTTAGATTATTGAATAGTTACACTCTGTCATATCTTGTCATATCTTGCCAGATGATCAGCTAAAAATGGATGATAAGAGCTCTATGATACCCAAGAAGTTTCCATTATGAACTGAACCGAGTAACTTATCATGGCTTTGCAGGGACAGACGTCATTCAACAAGGAATTTTATTATACAAATCACTTGTCTCAGAACTGGCTTCCAGTATTCTCGCTCCTTGAGTTCTATATCTATCAGCTGGTTGTGGACATGTTGTTTTACATTGCAGAAGTTGGTCATGTTAATCAGTACATCCTGATGGTTATTGTTGTCTTCTTGGGTTTTAATATATTGGGTGGCATGCTTCCAGTTGTCATAATCATGTGTAAAGCTCGAAGAAACCTTGAAGAAAAGCATACATGGATAGCAGAATATTTTTCCTGTTGATGGGGAATATATCAAATTTCGATCGGTTGACTGTTTCCTCATTTTTCATCTGTTTTTGAAATAAGTCTCTTTGGCAATATCTTGACTTAGATTGGCCACTTTCAGCCAAGCCTGTATACGTACGTTGTGAAGCATTTGAATACATATTGATATTTTGAGGCAGTTTATTCTCTACAATAAATTGTTGCAATTTGTCACAGACATGCCATTTCGCTGGATCACTGAAAAAATGAAATGTCGATGAAACTGAAACAGTTGAGGATGATTCATAATGATTAACTTCCTGATCAGTTTCCTCACGAGATTCTGTTTTATGTTCAGCTTCAAGCGTGTGAATGTTAGCATCTATGTCACCTCCATCATTGCTGATTTGGGATTCTGAATTTGGTTGCGGGGCATCAAAGTCCATTAGGCTGTTAGTTAGTACTGGTACTTGATTAACAACCATAGTGTTGGTGATGAACTTTAACAAAGCCCCTTTCTGCTTAGCAGCTGCAGCATCTACCAGAGGGATATGTATGTCTCTCTCACGTTTGTTCACTCTGAAAAGAAAAATTGAAATGGTGATGTGTTGACTATATTATATTTCTTTATTTATAATAAAACAAGTAAATTTTTACTATAGTATGGTCCTCTTGTATCTTTTTATGCTTCTTTATTATTGTTAGAAAAATATTTTACATAATTCTGTGGTACATGATTTACTAATAAATGTTGTTGCTGTTTTATAATTCCTTTTGTTTTTTCCATAAATAGCATAATTAATAGGAAGTACTTAACTAAAATTTGTAATTTCATATGGCTTCATGCATACAAAAATGTTTTTCTTTGTAAACTGAACTGAACAAAGCTAATAGACCATGCTAATTTCTAAATATTACCAGAAATTATACACATTTTTGTGTAAAATGCATAACAACTGTTATATACATACACACTGACATACATCTACACTTGCATCGTATTGGTACATTATGATATAAAACCAAGGATCCTCAAATTGTTTACTAAGATATTTGGTATCATCAAGATCACAAAGAATATAGAAATGCCTTTCATAGTTGCAAAAACAAAGAATATGATAGTGATATAATATATATATGAAGTGAATTTATGTCAATCCTGTAGTGCAATTTTATGCAAGTGTATGCTAGTGGTGTTAACAAAGCAGAGCTATTCTGAATTAACCCAATGTTTTAAAATTTAAACCATGCAGTTTACTAGGATATATGACCACATTTTATGAAAATACCATAGTTCAGGGCTATTCCAGGTCAGTAATTTTATATACTAAACATAAAAACTCCCTAAACTCTAACCATTCTATACATAAAATTATGCAATCCTCTCATAAGTGCACAAAGCGTATGTAGATGTACCATATATATCAAGCTTTTTATGTTGTCATTCAGTAGAAAACACACACACACACACACATACAAAAACACTATACATATGGCATACCTTCCCCTCACAATAACAAATAAAAAGCTGAATGCTGGAAGCATTCGGCATCTCTTTGGTGCTATGGGTAAGTCCCAGAGTTGCCAAATGGCAGTTAACTTGTTAGAAAAATTCTGCACCAATGTAAATATACAAAAGGCTGTAATACTGTAGGTTATATGTAAGAAATAGTGTTCAAACTTGAAAGGATAATCTAGTAAGGAAAATAAACAAATCTGGAGGAAATCAACGTAAAATGTAAAAACAGCGATTCATCAGCAGGATCAGCTATTGCCTATATGTAAAAATATATGTGCAATAATAATGTTATTTTCCAACCATTTTTAGTTTTTTTCTTGATGTGTTTCCACTTTCCAAAAACCTATATCTAATGACACAAAATCGGATCTAATTTTATAAGATAAGCAGTCTCTTCTCTAGAGTGTGGGGCTCCTTAAAGCATGGGGCCCAGGGCATGTACCATAAGTGCCCTGGCCTTAACATGCCCCTGGGTATTACTCATACATGCCCCAACTCTACCCTTTTTACCAGAAAGAGTTTAAAGCAAAGTTTCCATGAGGAGAATAACTTTTTCTGAACATCAAAATGAGAATGAGTCCATTTCTGGAGAGAGATGGTTGAGCAAGAGAGACATCGAGTGTAGGAGGATTCACCTTCTGGATGTGGAACTTTACCAATGCTGTGGAAACTATATGATGGTAGTCAGCCTTCAACCTCTGACTTAATGATTTGCATGCATCTGGACTACATAAGCAGGCTATACTCATAATGATCAATCTCAGAGATAGGGAAGCACAGGTGGCTGGAGTCCACCAGAACGGTAGTGTGCCTGGTGAGTTTGAGATTGCATGAGGAGGTCTATAGCAATTGCTCAGTCCATTGTAAATTAGTGTAAAAACACTGGCTTTGTTCTAAACCACTAGTGACAAATGGACAAAAGAGGCTAAATGTATTGCTGGTGGATGATTTCTGCCAGAGAGTTGACTTCCCAACAGCTGAGGTGATGGGTACACACAAGCAAATACCATGACCCATGGCTTGAGGCAACAAGGGAGATGAAAAGAATCTCTGTGGAATTGATAGAAGACTGAGGAAATTGGGGTTGAGTAGGGCTGTGGCATGAGTCACCACTGGCTGCTCATCACCCTGCAACCACAGTTTTTTGTGCAACTACCCATTGGGGTAGTAGAATCCCAGTACATAGCCTTCATGAAGAGTTGTAAAAATTGACAGTAACTTCTTCTGGTGTTCACCAAGGTCTGTATGAGAGGGGGAGGCTTTGGCTTTCCTTCTTTTGTGTGTAATGGAAAAGTTTGTAGTAACTGTAACTATGCAGATTACAGGGCTTTTGTGATGTCTCCTATACCAGGGTTTGAGAAATAAGGAAACTTAACACACTTCTAGATTATGTCATGAATTTAAAGCTGATTTAATGTCATTTTAATTGTTAGCCTGAGGACAGGCTGAGAAAGAAAGATGGGAAGTGTGTGGTATGTAGGCATACAGTGTTCTCCTATCACTTGTAGTGGTATAATATATATATATATATATATATTCTCATTATTTACTAGTTGCATACTGTCATGATGGCAAAAAATGGTTCAAGGTGTTTAACATTATCTTATTCTAGCTGCCTTAACCCTTTATTCATTTGTTAGATGGCATCTACCTGTAAAGAAACTTCAGTCTGTATTTTGCACTGTGGTTAAATTAGTTATAACTGGAATATCTTTTGCTGGCCGAACTATGATGTTTACTGAATTTGATCACTGAACAATGCTGTCAGGAATCAGAAGTTACAAGGTGACACTGTGTAGTGGACAAAGAAAATGAGGTGGTC